ATCATCCAGTGGCGCCAGCTGGAGCTCAGGTACGAAGGGGAGGAGTTTGTGTTGTAGCCTTCAGATGCTAACCATGCTAGCTAGTACGTTGGTCTGTGATTGAGACTCGTGTTGGGCTGCAGCTGCTGGTCCAACAGTCTGGACAACACCATGAAGAGGCACATGCAGAAGTCCATCAAACACTGGTTCTCCATCTACCAGCTGCTGGAGAAGTACCTGGAGGGAGAGAGGGCGGAGCCTAATCCAGGTATGTGTGACCCAGCCTAGCACACGTTCAGAACCTGACCTGTGGTCGTTAGTTCCCTCCGTATGGTTGGATGTGTCACGGATCTGAGGAGACACCTGTCTGTCTTCTAGACGGGGGCGTGGAGCGGCTCTCCCTGTCCTCGGTGTCTTCCACTCTCCAAGCTTTTATGGAGGGTTCCACCGTGGGGGAGTTTGACACCCGCCTCAGGATGCTGCTGAGCTTCCACTGCCACCTGCTGCTGGTCCCCAGCCAGCCTGGACGAGGTCAGAGGTCACTCAGAGGGACGCGTTCCATTACTGTGTTTATTTAGTGTGGTTGGTTCTTCTGTATCAGACACAAGCAGCCAGTCCATGTCTCCTCCAGATGTGTCAGCTGTAAACCACTTCCTGTTGGGTGATGTCCCCGTCCCTGTCCCTACAGAGTCTCTGTCTAGTGTCCTCTGGAACCTTCACAAGTACTACAGCCAGTTCTCCAACAGCATTCAGGCCAGAGTCACTCAGCTCAGGGAGCCGATCGAGAAGGAGCTGAAGGTACAAGCACGTTCTCCTCTGAAGGTTCTCTCAACACCTTCAAGGTCCATTAAAATACCAACTCCTTATTTCAGGACTTTGTCAAGATCTCCAAGTGGAACGATGTCAGTTTCTGGTCCATCAAGCAGTCTGTGGAGAAGACCCATCGGTAGGTATCTGGTTCTGGACCCGGCTGGTTTGAAGGTGTGGGTGGTACCTGTGAAGGGAGCGGTTCTCAGGCCTGTGGCTGTCCAGTGTGACATGACCAACCCGGCCTCCAGCGGTCTCCAGCGCCGGGAAACCTACAGAAAGCCAGAGTGAACCGGGCTTTAGACTCACGCCTCTCTTTCAGGACGCTCTTCAAGTTTGTGAAGAAGTTTGACGAAGCTCTGAGTTGTCCGAGCCTCCCCTCCCTGGTGGAACCAGGAGGCGGTGTAGATGTGGACGTAAACCCGGAGTACAGTCCTGTCCAGCGGATCCACCGGGCTCTGAAGAACATCCTGTCTGGAGGAGAACGGGCCCTTCAGGTACAGGTGCTGGTCCCTCACTGGGGCTGGTCTATTAACAAACATAGATATCTGTCCGTAGATATATGTCAATAGATGTGAGGTTTCCTTTCATTCCTCATTATGAGATGATTCTAAGAGTTGGTCTAGTGGAGGGTGACGAGATCAGTGTCGTGGTTTGAATGGTCTTCCGGCCCAGCCCGCTAGGCTCTACCGACTCTGGGTTGTTTCAGACGGAGCCTCCAGCAGAAGGAGTCCACGCCTCTCCTCTACAAGCACGTCTGCCCGCTCTGGCCCGAAGAATGAAGAAGATTTGTGTCCAGATGCTGAAGAAGGACCTGCTACCTGAGCTGACTGAAGATCTGGACTACTTCACAGGTGACACTTTCCTTCTACACTGCAAACAGAAACTAGGCGCGTGACCCGGTACCACATGGCTAAGGTGAAAGGTCACCCTGATGGAGGCTGTTGAAGGTGTGGTGTGAGACCTGCTGGGACAGGCGGAGGTGTCTAACCGTTCAGCTTCTGGTTGTTGGAGCAGGGAAGGTCGTCAGCAGCCTACAGGATCTGCAGAGCCTCAGCGTGGACCGGACCGCAGACAAGGACAAGCAGAAGAGCGAGGTCAAGCACATCCAGCAGCAGAAGAAGAGAGCTCTGTCGGACCTGTTCAAGATGCTGTCCAACACGGGTGATGACCCGCACCTGCTCCGCCGCTTCACCTGCATCAGTAGTCCATCTCACCGGCTTTTCCTTTTAGGGTTGTCCTACCGTAAAGGTCTGATGTGGAGCAGAACCACCGACCCAGAGAGCCCCCTCCTGGTCCAGCCTCTGGAGCTGAGTGCTGCTCTTTGTGCTGTGAAGAACCAGCACCAGGATGAGAGCAGGTACGCCCATATGGGTCCACATCAGGTCCTGATGAGGACTGGTAATCTAGAGCTCAGGAGGTTTTGGGTGTAGTTTGTTTACAGAGGTGAGGACGGCGTGGGACGGATGTCAGAAGTACTTCTACCGCTCGTGGGCCCGAAGAACCGCGCTGCAGACGGCTCTGCAGCATTCAGCTAAGGTCTCACCAAATCCTTCTATTCTGCTGAGTCACTTCCTGTTCTGAGCCTGGTCCTGACCCGGGACTGCTCCCCTCTGTGTGCCTGTAGGAGGTGGGTGTGGGGACCATCGATCGCTGCAGGGGCTTCACCTCTCACCTGTTCAAGCTGCTCCTCAAACAGAGGACGTGTCTGGCCCGGCTCACTGATCAGTGGGTCTCCCTCAGGTGAGTCCAGCTTTCACCTCGTCTTAAAGGTGTGGTTCATGGAAAAGCATTCTTAATGATTATTTCTGATTATAATGGCTCACTCTGAGCTGAACATGAAAATAGTCTCAAGTGTGTATGAAAGCCCGGTTTCCCAGTAGCCGGGTTCATCACCACCGACGCAGCTGCCCCGCTGGCGGCCTCAGAGTCCTTACTCGTGACCGCTGTAGACGGAGCGCTCGGTCTCATTCTGGCAGTATTCATTTGATCCGTTATATTAGCAGACCTGCCCACCTGTACGCATTTTGTGTAACAAGTACGCTATTGGTCACCGTTAGCAACTCCACCACGCAGCAGAGCTCCTCCAGTGCAGAAGTACTGAATAAATTAGTGAACCACACCTTTATCTCTACAAGCAGCAGCAGAGCAGGTCTCTCTCGGGAGGTAAACACAAACCAGGTGAGCCTCTGAGCTGAAACGGTTTCCAGAGCAGGTGACGAGCTACGTAAGCCCATTAACTAACCCCGAACGTTTCTTCTCTGCCCCGCCTCCTCGTGTAGGTCACTGACCGATGACATCCAGCAGATAAGAGTCCAGCTCCAGACTCAGAGTGAGGATGCAGGGTGCACCCTCCCCCCCCAAGACTCTCTCCAGGACTGGGTCAGAACAGGACAGGGCCTGGCTGCCCAGTGTGCCACCCTCCTGCAGCAGCTGGTGTGGCTGCTGCTGTGCTGTCCCGCCAGTCCCCAGCTGAGGGCAGAAGTATGCCCTTCCACCCTGAGGCACCCGTCCCCCCTGGCGCCTCGGTGCCAGCCCCCCGGCTGCCTGCTGAGGAGAGGAGACGCTGCTTGGTGCCAGCTCCACCAGCTCGTTGCTGCCATGCTGAAGCACTGCCAGAGTCTGCAGGAGGAGCTGGCTTCTGTGATCCAACAGGCGTCGGGGGGAGTTCTGCTCGCATGGTAAGACATCATCACTTCACTTCTGATTACGGTCAGAATGAAGAGGGAGCAGGATGCTTGCTTCTGTTTGTGTCATGGTTCCATCATGTCAGGAGGGCACGTCGAGACGCGTTCCAGAGAAACAGCTGTGTGAGAAGTTCAGCCACAACAAGATGACTACATGTTTGTCTCCCACAGGAGCAGCTTTTCTGTCTGCTCTTCAGCCATGGAGCAGCTAGCAGACGTTGCAGGCCAGATGAGCAGCATAGAGCAGCTCTTCACCACGGCCTCCAGTGTGGGCGGCACCAACTACCAGCCAGCCGTGACGCAAAGCCTTCGATATGTCCGAGGACAGGTGGAGGCTGGCGTCACGGAGTTCACCGCCTGGAAGACCCAGCTGCTGTTCCTGGACCAGCCACCCTCAGGTGAAGGCGGCGATCTGTCAGGAGCGCTACAGAGCTGCCAGCTTCATCAGCTGGGCTTAAACAGCTGATCTTTTGTTGTTTACAGATCAGCAGTCCTCCTTCTGCCGCCGCTTCTCCGCTGAGCTGGAGACAAACATCAACAAGGTGCTGTGTGCCGTCCAGAAGCTGGTGAAGAGGAGGGAGAGAGAGCTGCCAACTGAGCAACACGGAGACCCAGAGCTGATCCAGGGTCAGAGCTTAGGCTGCCTTTTACTTGAACCTGGCTAGAAAGCACTCTCACATCTCTGAGTCTAGTCCGAGTCGACATGAGCTGCACAACTCCAGCCCGCCTCACATCTGGATATTAGAGCCCTGCACTGAAGCCCTAGGCCCTCGGGCCGGGCCGGACACGGGCTCAGATTTTAGGCCCGTGCAGGGCTCTACTGGATCTATGGCTGCTGTACCAATCTTCTCCAGAAGAACAAACCCAGCATGTGCAGGAAAGGGTGGTGATTTCAACACAAACACTCATTGTTGTGTGTTTTCTGCTGGTTCTATTTGCTCCAGAGGGTGAGGAGGAGGGGGGGGAGGAGTCAGTGGTGGACCTGCTGAAGCCTGGACACCTAACTCAACTCCTGGAGGAGGATCTGGAAGCGGATATGAAGAGTCTGTCTGTGGGTGATGTCACCGCTGGGCTGGGAGGGCTATTGAGCCTACTGAGGAGCTACAGAGACTCCAGTCAGCCTCCTCAGCTTCAGGTACGTCACCTGGTCACCTGGTCACCTGGATCCCTTCAGCAGGGAGCCCCGTTTACTCTAATAAGTCATCCTGTCTCTGTGTGTGTGTGTGTGTGTGTGTGTGTGTGTGTGTGTGTGTGTGTGTGTGTGTGTGTGTGTGTGTGTGTGTGTGTGTGTGTGTGTGTTTGTGTGTGTGTGCGTGTGTATGTGTGTGTGTGTGTGTGTGTTTGTGTGTATGTGTGTGTGTGTGTGTTTGTGTGCACGTGTGTATGTGTGTGTGTGTGTGTGTGTGTGTGTGTGTGTGTGTGTGTGTGCACGTGTGTGTGTTTGTGTGTGTGTGTGTGTGTGTGTGTGTGTGTATGTGTGTGTGTGTGTTTGTGTGCACGTGTGTGTGTGTGTGTGTGTGTATGTCTGTGTGTATGTGTGTGTGCACGTGTGTGTGAGATCAGGAGGTGAACCAGGCCTGCAGGATGCTGGTGCGTCTGCATCCCCTGCTGGGCGTGTACTCTGACCTGGTGCTCTACTTCCTGACCGCGTCACTCGGAGTCCATCGGAGCACGGGCAAGCTGCTCTCCGTCCTGGCTAGCATCTTCACCGAGCTGGCTCAGAAGGTACGGATGCTGGTCCAGTCAGGTTGGAACTGGTTAACAGGTGCGGGTTAGTAAAGGGTGTGGTGTGCTCCTCAGGGGTTCTGCTTGCCCCCGGAGCTGGTGGATGGTAGTGATGGAGATGGAGCCAGTGAGTTTCATGACTACCAGAGTGGTGGAATTGGAGAAGGAGAAGGAGCCAAAGATGTCAGCGACAAGATAGAGAATGAAGATCAGGTGAAAACATGGAATAGTGTAATTCTGCTTCTGTAACCATAGAAACCACCTGACTCCGATCCAGAAAGACTGAAGCAGCAAACTTCTCTACCTGAACAACACCAAGATGGCGTCTCTTCCTGTCTGTTTGCTGCTGTAGGTGGAGGACACGCATCATGAGGGACAGGAGAAGGAGGAGCAGCAGGATGGAGAAAACATCAAGTCAGAGGACAATGCCATAGAAATGTCTGAAGACTTCGACGGCCAGATGCACGATGGAGATGAAGCAGGTGAGTTTCACCTGGAGGAGTTGAGTCGCAGTCAAGATCTGCTCGTTCCCTCTCAAGGTTCCTCATTCTGATCATTTCTAGGTGAAAATGAGGAGGAGTCTGACAAAGAGGAAGAGGAGGAGCTTGACAAGAAGATGGGAGACCTGGGAGACGGTCAGACAGACACTCTGGATGAACGACTGTGGGGAGACGATGAGGATGATGGAGGAGGAAGTGGTGAGGAGGAGGAGGAGTCTGGTCAGGGGATGGATCAGGTAGGACCTAGCATCAGCCAGAAGAAGATCAGCACCTCCTCTCCCAGACTAGAGTCCTGTCCCTTTCTGTTGAACAGGGGGAATCCCAGCTAGCCGCTAAAGATGACCAGCTACACCAGGGCGAGTCCAACGAGGACAAGAACAACCAAGACAAAGATGAAGACATGTGTGAGGAGGAGGAGGAGGAGAAGATCCACGAACAAGGAGACAAGGTGAGGAGCAGCTGTCCGCCCTGCTCATGTTGAGGATTTGAACTGTTAATATGCCCGACATAACCCAAACAGGGACCAGCTGGGTGGGAGGGGGTGTCAGGAACACAAACCTGGATTTATCATCAGGTTTTAGATCCGTGCGTCCATGAAGAGCTGAGTGGAGTAGGAAGAGTCGTGCAGCTGAAACTGAGACTGGATAGGTTCGCTTCTCTGGTGATGACAGGAAAGGTGAACACCTAGAGCTCAAAGTCAGGTGACCCCAACAGGTCATAGAAATGATGACTGCTGTACAAGCAAACAGGAGGTTACAGGAACAAACTGGTTTTAGTTTCCAGACACAGTTGCCATGGTAACCAGATCTTTGGCCTTTAACAGCTTTATATATTAGTAAAAGGACCTCCATGTGTCGAGTTATCGTCAGCTCACAAAACTACGTCCAGTAGCTCAGGAGATAATACACACACACACACACACACACACACACACACACGCGAGATTTTCGAACATCTTAAATGCGAGGACTGAATGTCGTTGTTCTTCGTTGTTCTTCAGAGGGAGTTCGATGAGAACGAGGTGGATCCGTATCACGGTGAACAGGACAAGAGACCAGAACCTGAAGCTATGGAACTGCCCCAGGACCTCAACCTGGACCAGGATGAAGAGGCTGGAGATGATGAAGAGGATGAAGTTGATGGTGAGGACCTAGCTGTATGTCAAATGTTTATCTGAGGCTGACAGATGGTTACCATGGTGACCCTGTTTAGCCACTGGCAGCAGCACTGAGCTGCCGGAGTTAACGTGGTTAGTCATGTTGTTCAGATTCATCATCAGTGTTCTAACATGTTTATAACATTTTCATAACCTCATCAAGTTGGTTTTCCTTTTTCAGGAGAGAATTCCTCAGAGGCTGATGATAAATCCATGAATCCGGACATGATGGAGAAAGAGCAGAAGGAGGGGGAGGGGGAGGAGGAGAGAGGAGAGGGCGAGCAGAGAGAAGAGGACATGGAGGAGAACCAGGCTCAAGAAGAAAACAATCAGGAATATAACATGGAGGAGGAGTCTGTTGATAAAGAAGATGAAGAAAAGGAGAAGGAAGAGGAGAGAGAAGGAGAGAGAGGAAAAGAGGAGGATGTCAGTGTCCCTAATTACAAAGGAGAGGAACCACAGGTGTGTATGGGAGGAGTGTGTGTTGTTCCTGTTACACACCTGTATTAACACAAGTTTCCTGTTGGGGCTTACAGGAGGAGGCTGAGGGGGAGGAGAGGGAGGAAGAGGAGGAGCCTAATTCAGCTGAGAGGAAGGACCACAGCAGGAATGCTCAGGTCGGTGACGAGAACGTTCAGTCAGACTCCGCTGTGGAGCTGGCGGGGGAGCCGTCAGAGAAAGATCAGGCTAAAGAGGTAAGAGTGCCATGGTTTAATAAAGACTGGGACATGGGGACACACTGGAGATACCCTAGGGTAGGGGTGCCTAATCCTGATCATGGAGGGACGATATCCAGCACATTTGAGTGGTTTCTCTGCTCCAACACGCTGAGTCATCTGTGCAACAGCTCATCAGGCCTGTTAATCACTTGCTAATCGAAATCGAGGTTAGAACTAAAACATGCTGGATACCGGCCCCGCTGGACCAGGATTAGGCACCCCTGCCCCTAGAGAAACCGTCGAAACACTGTAGAGACATTCTGGATACACAGTAGAGATACAGTAGAGACATACTGGAGACAATAGAGATACACTAGAGACACAGAGACATACTGGAGACATACTAGAAACACAATAGAGACATACTGGGGACATAAAAGAGATGCACTGGAGACACTATAGAGATATACTGGGGACACAACAGATCCAGTAGATACACTATAGAGACATAATGGAGACACTAAAGAGACATACTGGAGACATACTAGAAACACAATAGAGACATACTGGGGACATAAAAGATACACTGGAGTCACTATAGAAGACCTGCCACCTGTAAGCATTTTTGTAGAAAGTACGCATATTATCATCTAACTACGCTGGTACGACTCACTCCTCTAAATTACACAAAAAGCTGCGAACACGTGAGTTCTGTAGCAAATGTACACGTGTGATACTCATGTCTGCAACACGACTCAGCAGCGTGTTGAAGAAGTTTAAGCCAGTACTCTTAGAAAGGAGGAGAAAAACTATTCTGCCTATCCTAGAGACACAGTAGAGACATACTGGAGACAATAGAGATACACTAGAGACACAGTAGAGACATACTGGAGGCAGTAGAGATACACTAGAGACACAGCAGAGACAAACTGGGGACAATAGAGAGACACTAGAGACATACTGGAGACAGTAGAGATACACTAGAGACACAGTAGAGACATACTGGAGACAATAGAGATACACTAGAGACACAGTAGAGACATACTGGAGGCAGTAGAGACACAGTAGAGACAAACTGGGGACAATAGAGAGACACTAGAGACATATTGGAGACAGTAGAGATACACTAGAGACACAGTAGAGACATACTGAAGACAATGGAGATACACTAGAGACACAGTAGAGACATACTGGAGACAATATTGATACACAGAGACATACTGGAGACAATAGAGATGCGACATACTGGAGACAATAGAGATGCACAGTAGAGACATACTGGAGACAATAGAGACAGTAGAGGCACAGAAGATACATACTGCAGACAATAGACATACACTAGAGACACAGTAGAGACATACTGGAGACAGTAGAGATACACAGTAGAGACATACTGGAGACAATAGAGATGCAGTAGAGACATACTGGAGACAATAGGGATACACTAGAGACACAGTAGAGACATACTGGAGACAATAGACATACACTAGAGACACAGTAGAGACATACTGGAGACAATAGGGATACACTAGAGACACAGTAGAGACATACTGGAGACAATAAAGATACACTAGAGACACAGTAGAGACATACTGGAGACAATAGAGATACACAGAGACATACTGGAGACAGTAGACATACATTAAGAGACACAGTAGAGACATACTGGAGACAATAGAGATACAGTAGAGGCATACCGGAGACAATAGAGATACACAGAGACATACTGGAGACAGTAGAGACACAGAAGAGACATACTGGAGACAATAGACATACACTAGAGACACAGTAGAGATATACTGGAGACAATAGGAATACACTAGAGACACAGTAGAGACATACTGGAGACAATAGGGATACACTAGAGACACAGTAGAGATATACTGGAGACAATAGGGATACACTAGAGACACAGTAGAGACATGCTGGAGACAATAAAGATACACTAGAGACATACTGGAGACAATAGGGATACACTAGAGACACAGTAGAGACATACTGGAGACAATAGGGATACACTAGAGACACAGTAGAGACATACTGGAGACAGTAGAGATACATTAGAGACACAGTAGAGACATACTGGAGACAATAAAGATACACTAGAGACACAGTAGAGACATACTGGAGACAATAGAGATACACAGAGACATACTGGAGACAGTAGAGATACATTAGAGACACAGTAGAGACATACTGGAGACAATGGAGATACACTAGAGACACAGTAGAGACATACTGGAGACAATATTGATACACAGAGACATACTGGAGACAATAGAGATGCGACATACTGGAGACAATAGAGATGCACAGTAGAGACATACTGGAGACAATAGAGACAGTAGAGGCACAGAAGATACATACTGCAGACAATAGACATACACTAGAGACACAGTAGAGACATACTGGAGACAGTAGAGATACACAGTAGAGACATACTGGAGACAATAGAGATGCAGTAGAGACATACTGGAGACAATAGGGATACACTAGAGACACAGTAGAGACATACTGGAGACAATAGACATACACTAGAGACACAGTAGAGACATACTGGAGACAATAGGGATACACTAGAGACACAGTAGAGACATACTGGAGACAATAAAGATACACTAGAGACACAGTAGAGACATACTGGAGACAATAGAGATACACAGAGACATACTGGAGACAGTAGACATACATTAAGAGACACAGTAGAGACATACTGGAGACAATAGAGATACAGTAGAGGCATACCGGAGACAATAGAGATACACAGAGACATACTGGAGACAGTAGAGACACAGAAGAGACATACTGGAGACAATAGACATACACTAGAGACACAGTAGAGATATACTGGAGACAATAGGAATACACTAGAGACACAGTAGAGACATACTGGAGACAATAGGGATACACTAGAGACACAGTAGAGATATACTGGAGACAATAGGGATACACTAGAGACACAGTAGAGACATGCTGGAGACAATAAAGATACACTAGAGACATACTGGAGACAATAGGGATACACTAGAGACACAGTAGAGACATACTGGAGACAATAGGGATACACTAGAGACACAGTAGAGACATACTGGAGACAGTAGAGATACATTAGAGACACAGTAGAGACATACTGGAGACAATAAAGATACACTAGAGACACAGTAGAGACATACTGGAGACAATAGAGATACACAGAGACATACTGGAGACAGTAGAGATACATTAGAGACACAGTAGAGACATACTGGAGACAGTAGAGATACACTAGAGACACCGTAGAGATATACTGGAGACAATAGGGATACACTAGAGACACAGTAGAGATCTACTGGAGACAGTAGAGATACACAGTAGAGACATACTGGAGACAATAGAGATGCAGTAGAGACATACTGGAGACAATAGGGATACACTAGAGACACAGTAGAGACATACTGGAGACAGTAGAGATACATTAGAGACACAGAAGAGACATACTGGAGACAATAGGTATACACTAGAGACTCAGTAGATATATATTGGAGACAATAGGTATACACTAGAGACACAGTAGAGACATACTGGAGACAATAAAGATACACTAGAGACACAGTAGAGATATACTGGAGACAATAGAGATACACAGAGACATACTGGAGACAGTAGAGATAAATTAGAGACACAGAAGAGACATACTGGAGACAATAGACATACACTAGAGACACAGTAGAGATATACTGGAGACAATAGGGATACACAAGAGGCACAGTAGAGACATACTGGAGACAATAAAGATACACTAGAGACACAGTAGAGACATACTGGAGACAATAGAATACACAGAGACATACTGGAGACAGTAGAGATACATTAGAGACACAGTAGAGACATACTGGAGACAATAAAGATACACTAGAGACATACTGGAGACAATAGGGATACACTAGAGACACAGTAGAGAAATACTGGAGACAATAAAGATACACTAGAGACACAGTAGAGACATACTGGAGACAATAGAATACACAGAGACATACTGGAGACAGTAGAGATACATTAGAGACACAGTAGAGACATACTGGAGACAATAAAGATACACTAGAGACACAGTAGAGACATACTGGAGACAATATTGATACACAGAGACATACTGGAGACAATAGAGATACATTAGAGACACAGTAGAGACATACTGGAGACAATAGAGACACAGTAGAGATAAACTGGGGACACAAAAAGGATACACTGGAGACACTATAGAGATACACTGGAGATGCCCAGGAGAGACTGTGGGGACAATAGAGACATAGTGGAGACACAGTGGAGGCACTATAGAGATAGACTAGGGACACAGTGGGGACACCAGAGACACCTTCTTACCAAAGATGGTCCAGATGTAAGCTGGAGTATTGTTCCCCCTACCATTAGGAATATGGCAGCGGAGCAGCAGATGCTAGCCAATCAGAGGGACATCAGTCAAAGCTGACGGCCAGGATGGCGTCTCAGACCCAGACCAAGAGCAAGACTCAGGTACTTCTCACTAAAACACCACCAGCAGGTCTCTGACGCACTGCTGTGAGTCCTCACATCAGTCTTCTTCCTCCAGAGTATGAAACGAAAACCTGGCCGAGCCGATAATGAGAGATTGATGGGAGACCATAGCAAACAAGTCAACAAGCGTCTCCGGATGGTGGACAGCGGCAAGGAGCCCACCGAGGACAAGCAGGGTGAAGGCCAGCAGGACTCGGACCTGTATGAGTACATCAAAGAGGGATCAGCGAGCTACGACACGCAGACCTACGGTCAGTCTTCATCCTGTCCCCAACATTTGGGTGTGGTTACAGATGGTTTCACTCATCATTTCATTATTGAACTCCTGGTTTAATCATGTTCTGGGTGGTGGTAGAACACCTCTATCATGGAGACAGGCTCTAATCTCTGTTAGACCAAAGTTTGGGAAAGCTAAAACTGAATCTAGTTCCTATAGACTCGTATACAGACTCGTAAACATACAGTCATTGGGACATGGACACAACGCTAACATTTTTGGCTCTATACACCACAACGGATATCAAATGAAACGAACAAGATGTGCTTTAACTGCGAACCGTCAGCTTTTAGAGGGTATTTACATCCAAACCCGGTGAGCGTGTAGGAATTACAACAGTTTCATATGTGCCTCCCACTTGTTAAGGGACCAAAAGTAACGGGACAATCTCAGCTGTTCCATGGCCTGTGCTTGTTTACTGTGCTTGTTTACTGTGCTTGTTTACTGTGTTTGTTTACTGTGTTTGTTTACTGTGCTTGTTTATTGTGCTTGTTTACTGTGTTAGTTTACTGTGTTTGTTTACTGTGCTTGTTTACTGTGTTTGTTTACTGTGTTTGTTTACTGTGCTTGTTTACTGTGTTTGTTTACTGTGTTAGTTTACTGTGTTTGTTTACTGTGCTTGTTTACTGTGTTTGTTTACTGTGTGTGTTTACTGTGTTTGTTTACTGTGCTTGTTTACTGTGTTTGTTTACTGTGCTTGTTTACTGTGTTTGTTTACTGTGTTTGTTTACTGTGTTTGTTTATTGTGCTTGTTTACTGTGTTAGTTTACTGTGTTTGTTTACTGTGCTTGTTTACTGTGTTTGTTTACTGTGTTTGTTTACTGTGCTTGTTTACTGTGTTTGTTTACTGTGTTAGTTTACTGTGTTTGTTTACTGTGCTTGTTTACTGTGTTTGTTTACTGTGTTTGTTTACTGTGTGTGTTTACTGTGTTTGTTTACTGTGCTTGTTTACTGTGTTTGTTTACTGTGCTTGTTTACTGTGTTTGTTTACTGTGCTTGTTTACTGTGTGTTTACTGTGTTTGTTTACTGTGCTTGTTTACTGTGTTTGTTTACTGTGCTTGTTTACTGTGTTTGTTTACTGTGCTTGTTTACTTTGTTTGTTTACTGTGTTTGTTTACTCTGCTTGTTTACTGTGCTTGTTTACTGTGTTTGTTTACTGTGTTTGTTTACTGTGCTTGTTTACTGTGTTTGTTTACTGTGTTTGTTTACTGTGCTTGTTTACTGTGTTTGTTTACTGTGCTTGTTTACTGTGTGTTTACTGTGCTTGTTTACTGTGTTTGTTTACTGTGCTTGTTTACTGTGCTTGTTTACTGTGCTTGTTTACTGTGTTTGTTTACTGTGCTTGTTTACTGTGTGTTTACTGTGTTTGTTTACTGTGCTTGTTTACTGTGTTTGTTTACTGTGCTTGTCTACTGTGTTTGTTTACTGTGTTTGTTTACTGTGCTTGTTTACTGTGTTTGTTTACTGTGTTTGTTTACTGTGCTTGTTTACTGTGCTTGTTTACTGTGCTTGTTTACTGTGCTTGTTTACTGTGTTTGTTTACTGTGTTTGTTTACTGTGCTTGTTTACTGTGCTTGTTTACTGTGTTTGTTTACTGTGTTTGTTTACTGTGTTTGTTTACTGTGTTTGTTTACTGTGCTTGTTTACTGTGTTTGTTTACTGTGCTTGTTTACTGTGCTTGTTTACTGTGCTTGTTTACTGTGTGTTTACTGTGCTTGTTTACTGTGCTTGTTTACTGTGTTTGTTTACTGTGCTTGCTTACTGTGTTTGTTTACTGTGCTTGTTTACTGTGTTTGTTTACTGTGCTTGTTTACTGTGCTTGTTTACTGTGTTTGTTTACTGTGCTTGTTTACTGTGTTTGTCCGCCCTTTTTCGGTTTAGTTTTAATGTAGTAACAGTCACAAAAATATTCTGAGGAGATGGTTTCACTCTACACCTGGAGGACGGAGACTCTGGTGTTTTGGTGGAGAAGACTTTGTTTACCAGAGATAAACAATAACATGTGTGATTTCAGATGTTGCCACAGCTGAGCAGCAGCAAGCTGCAGGACCTGAGCAGGGCCAAAACGAGGATGACGAGGATGCAGCAATGGAGACGGAGGACCAGGAGGAGGACTTCCAGCCTGCTGATGTCCAGGAGCTGAAGCCTGATCAGCTGGGCACCTCCTCCAAGGCCTCGCGACAAGGTTCTCCTTTAGTTTGATCTGATTTAACACAAAAACATCACCACACACAGAAACTCTGATCAGCTCAGTGCTCTGGTGTCTGAGTAGATGGTGGAGAAACACCGGAGCAAAGGAGGGGAGAAGAGGACAAGGACACATCCAGAGACCCACGTCTAAAGGATGAAGAAGAACCAGTGGAGAGGAGAACAGGATCCACGATTCACACCCATCCAGCTTTGCTGCTGGAGACCATGCAGGTGAGATGAAGGCTTTGGTCCTACACCACAAGCTAGCCCTGGTTTCCAGCAGCAGCCTGAGGTGTTGTGTGTCTCTACAGAAAGCAGACTCAAACCCAGAAGAGATGAGGAAGGAGATGGAGCTCCAGCTGGAGGCCTGGAACCACCTGCCTCCAGGAACCCAGGAGGAGGTGAGGCTGCGCCCTGATTAGATCTACCCCATCCTCCCAAACACACCGACATCCACACAAACGCCACAGCCAATGCAATACACCACTAAAACCAGTGACATTGGATCGTCCCTGTGTGGGAGGATCAGAGGGGCTCCACTCATAAACCCAGCTGGTGGGAGTAGGAGTCACATAAACGGCGTTTATGCTGAATGAGCCAGTTTATCGAATAAAATCTCCGCTTCGCCTGTTCTACTGAACAGCTGAGGCCAAACGCCGACTCGTGTGTAGACGTAATAAAACCAGCAGCTCTTCCGGGTTTCTATGAAATAACTGGATTTTCACAACAGCAGGACAAAAATGACCACTGATGGTTCGATCGTCTTCCACCACCCTCAACACAAGCAGCCTCTTTGTGCAGCTTCCTTCTTCACTGAAAAGCTAATAAAACGTTTCTGATGGTAGATTTTTAAGATTCCTCTGTTGCAGCTCTGAACTGGTTTTACTCCAGTGGACTGAGGGCTTCAGACATAAAACCAGTTTCATGTTCAATAGACTCACTGTGTGTGTGTGTGTGTGTGTGTGTGTGTGTGTGTGTGTGTGTGTGTGTGTGTGTGTGCGTGTGTGTGTGTGTGTGTGTGCGTGTGTGCGCGTGTGTGTGTTTTCTCCAGGAGAGCGCAGCAGCTTCTCTGTGGCACCAGTACCAGGCTCTGACCTCCACTCTGTCCCAGCAGCTGTGTGAGCAGATCCGTCTGGTCCTGGAGCCCACACAGGCCACCAAGCTCAAGTCAGTCCAGCCCCCCTGGGCCTCCAGCTGATGCTGAGGTGTAGCTCACAGGTGTGATTTATGTGTTTGCTGTGCTCCATCCTTCTCCTCAGAGGGGATTACCGCACAGGGAAGCGTCTGAACATGAGGAAGGTGATTCCTTACATCGCCAGTAACTTCCACAAGGACAAGATCTGGCTGAGGAGGACCAAGCCCAGCAAGAGAGAGTACCAGATCTGTCTGGCTGTAGACGACTCGTCCAGCATGATGGACAATCACTCCAAACAGGTATCTCTCTCTCTCTCTCACACACACACACACACACACACACACACACACACACACACACACACACACACACACACACACACACACACACACACACACACACACACACACACACACACACACACACACAGGGGCCTGAATAACACCCTGTTGTGTGTGTTGCAGCTGGCGTTTGAGTCCCTGTCTGTGATCATCAATGCCCTGACTCTGTTGGAGGTTGGACAGGTGGCCGTGTGCAGGTGAGAAGGAGTTCTGTGTCAGCTCAGAGGAGCTCTGTGATTATCTGATGGTGGGTGTTTCTGCTCGTGTGTTCAGCTTCGGAGAGCAGGTGCAGCTGCTGCACCCCCTCCAGCAGCAGTTCAGCGATGAGTCGGGGGCTCGGATCCTCAGACTGTGTCAGTTCCAGCAAAAAAAGACCAGGATCGCCCAGGTGGGGATGCTTTAGTCAGGAAGGGACAGCTTCTGATAGAAATTAGGTCAAACAATTGTAGTGGTTACCGTGTCGTAGGAAGTTAGACCTTGCTGCTCTGTCCTGACCTTCAGACTGACCTCACCACGTCTCCTCTTTAGTTCTTAGAGACGTCTACAAAAATGTTTCTGTCAGCTCGTCAGCAAAGCCCAGGATCCGTCAGCTCAGGTAAAACTGTGTGTGTGTGTGTGTGTGTGTGTGTGTGTGTGTGTGTGTGTGTGTGTGTGTGTGCACTTGTCTATACTGCTAGCGTCACTCTTTGTAGCGTGACGACTGCAAGTTAATTATGACCAATGAGGTGAGATGATTCCGTATGGACATGAAATATCATCCTGAGTGATCTTTGACTGTTTAACCAGAAGATTATAGTTACTTTTACTTGTTCAGGGATCATAAACACACTTCGTATTAATTCAGATAGTCAGTCTATAGTTAAAAAAAGGAATTTTATTCTTTTTCCTAGACTAATGATTATACATGACAAGGTATGAATAGCAGTGTTAATTTTGTTGAGAAAATATTTTCGTCTTTTTTTCGTCACGAAAATATATTTACAGACAAAAATGAAACAAAATTTCAAAATAAAAGCTTGGAAAAAGACGAAGACGGTAATTCAATTGACTGAAGCTTTTAGTCAATGAATGAAGGACGAGCCGAAAATCCACAACAACGAATATCTAATCAGAAGACAGGAAAGATGCCTGATGCAAATAAAAGGACCAATCAACAAATTGAACAGGCGGGACTAGGTGAGAAGAGAACCAATCAGAGTCCACTTTGTTTAGAGGTGATGCTAGGCCTACCATAGTAATCAACTTCTCCATGTTTGCTCGGAGATGTACGGAGCTCTCGGACGCGACCTGACTGCTCACACTGTACGTCTGGTAGCAACACGTCGGACCTAAAAATATGCTAAAAATAGCAGTTTTTACACAACACGTCAGACTTTTTTGTCTTACCTGTCCTTCGGGAGTGCTGCAGGAGGACACACAGGGATTTATGGGGGTTGGATGAGGAAAACGAAATAAATAAAGTAAATCTGTGTTTTGTGATCAGTTTAATTTGACATGAACACGACAAACACGCTTTCTTGACAATCTTTGTGAGTAAAAAATAAAACGTGTAGAAATAAAAACAAACAACATGTGTTATTAGGGAAATAGTGGGCGAGCGGTGTTGATGCAGGATTGCGCCCTGAGCGGTTCTGGTACTTTTTGGGTCGCAGCCGCTCGCTGCACCGCTCCAACAGTGCAATCCCCTCACGAGGGACGAGCAAAATATCAAACACGCCAGAAGTCCGTGCGAGCTCACGGTTGCACAGTTGAAGCGGGTTAGGGTTAGGGTTAGACACCCGTAACTGACAGCTTACAGGTCCTGTACTGTACTTATTTTGGGATGTTAACCATTTTATTGTGAAAAGTTTCTGGAAAAATGCATGCCCTCAAAGGAAGAGTTTTTATTTTTGAGTATTTCTGCATGCTATTTTGAAAAAGGGTTAGGGTTAGGCCAGGATGGTTAGGGTTGTGCATTTGCTAAAAAAGAGCACCTTTGTAATTCCCAGTGTGCTTTTTGTTTTTTATTAAACACGTAAGTGTTAAACATGAGAAGTGTTTTTTTTTAATTCAAATATTCTATGTTCTTAGCTGTGTGTGCTATATCTGATCAGTGGTGGTTAAGAGTTTGGACCCTGCGTATTAAATTACACTAGTTTTTCCGTGCTCTATACAAAAGTAGGAAATTACTTCATTAGAAAAAAATATATGTATTTTGTTGACTAAAATTGCTTATTTTCATCGACTAAAATTAAAATAAATCTAATGACTAAAATTGGACTAAGACTAAAATTAATTTTTAGCCAAAAGACTAAGACTAAAGTAAAATTAACATTTCCTGTCAAAATTAACACTGATGAATAGAGATGTGATGTAATGGATATGAGGTGATGTAAGCTAGATATTTAGCAGATCCTTCTTTGCATCTGAAAGAAATTAAGTCTGGGTGTAAAAGAATTAGTTGTCTGCTATAAACTAGAGAGTTGGTTAATGATAAACGCCATCAGATGCAATCTGTTGTCTACAAACCCTGGTGGAGACCCCCAGCAGATCCGGACTGTCAGAAGTCGGGGGGACCTCACGGTACCCGTAGCTCGTAGGTTCGCTCTGATATGACCCGTCCAGTCTTGAGATGTTTCCTGGTCACAGCAGTAGCTGGAATGCTTGTTTTCATCCAAGGTGGATGTTTGGCTCTTAAAAGAGCCGTCTGGCTGTGTCAGCTTGCAGCCTGCAAAGAGGCTTTTGACTGGAGGTCAAAAGAAATGTCTCAGAGATGCTTGTTCCCGAATTGGCCGGTTCGAGAATCAGCTGGAAACTGAATTAATCGGGAAGTAATTCTTGTTTTAATAAACCACTTTGTTGTGATTTCTGGCCAAGTTTGGCCAACCAGAATTTGACACGTATCTGAGTGTTTACCAACATCCCTCAGAAAGCCACGGCTTCTTCAGGTACAAAGATGTTTTTAACCTTAATGAATATCTTATTGTAATGTGTATGACTGATTAACTTGTTAAATCAACACGTACTGATCATAAGGTCTGAAATGGATCATTGTAAGAGCTATATTTTAAATTCATTGGTTTAAACACAGATTATTCAAAAATTTGATTAAAACATCTTGTTTATTCATCACACATGATTATTTAACTTCTAACTATAAAATCCTGTAGGAGCTTCAAGTAGGCTTGATTTTTAATTAAGGTGATGAGTCACCAGCCTGACTTTTACGCAGAGTTCAGGACCTTTGGGAGACTGTTTTGTCTCCAGTGAGGAACAATAAGTGGGCAAAGGTTGTTTTTGGGCATCTGGACCCGACAGCTGGTGCAGCCTTGAATGTGCAGTTTCTGGCGTGTATGAAAGGTTATGTTGTGTCAGTTAGATGGTGAAAAATTGACCCCTTTGATACGTGACATACTGAAGACCAATTACACAATTCTCACCTACAAAGTGAGGACATTTATCCTGGTCCTCACTTTACCGTGTTACTGACTAGCTGGTTTTAGAGGATTAGATTAGAAATAGAACAGTAATGGTAACGGTTAGGGCTGCACAACATATCGCAAATATATCGTTATCGCGATATCAGCATGCACAATATGCATATCGCAAGGAACAGATAAATATTGTAATGAATGGTCAGCTCAAATGTTTGCCACACATGATGCGTTCTGTCAATCAAACGGAAGCATGATGTTTTTTTTAACCCTAACACACACCAGTGTGCTAGGGTTCCCTTTCAGTCGATTCACTCGGTACAACGAAGGTACTATGGGACATCACGCCCTCGTGTGGCTTGGCTGAAGACACATTTAATCATGCCTGTAAGGCAAGTGAATGTGACGCTGCGTGGAGGCCCCGCCCTCCACTTATAAGCGACCGCGTCACTGTCATTCCTCAGTTCTTACGCTCTTCACCTCGCTGAGTACACACCTGAAAACCAGCTGCGCTAGTGAAAGATAGCTTAACTGCTCGCTGACTGGACTCTACTGCCTTCTGGCTAGCATTCCCGCCCACCGAGTGCTATCTTTTGTGGCTCTTCAGCTTCTCTGCTTTCGCTCCGCTGTGTGTCTCACATTGAGCACCGTGTTGGAAGTTGCTTCACGGAAAGCCGCTTCGCGCGCCTGTCCTCAGGGCTGTGGATTCTTTCTTCACAAGAAGAACCTACACAAAGCGTGCCCGGTTTGTCTGGGAGTTCTCCACGCCAGGAGAGCACTTGTGGACCCGGAGGCGTGAGAGTTCTGTCGCCAACTCCGCCGCCCCACGCTCGAACGGCACGTGAAGCTCCTACATCGACTCCTGGGAGACGCTGCAGTTTCACAGCAGGACCCCATGCTTTCGCGTTCTGCCCCGGCTTCGCGTGGCTCTGACATGGACAGCCTAATGATCAATGTCCCCACTACTAGCTGGGCAGATCAGATAGAGATGGCGGACAATTTAACCGGACCAGACCTAGAGGCTTCTCAGTTTCCTCCTCTGGCAGAGGATGAAGGAGACGTTTTGGACATTTGCCCCGACAGTCGAGACTTACTCAAGGACGAGGAGGTCCTCTCAGTGGTGGAGTGTTCAGCTCCAGCCGCCACTTCAGCCTCCAAGCTGCGAGATGACACTTCTTTTCTCCCGCTCTGCCGGCGTGCAGCGGGGAGGCTAGAGGTGGCCTGGCCCACTCCTCCACCTGCACAAAAGAGGTACCGCTTTTCTGGATTTTACCTCCCCTTGGAACCAGCGGAGGTAAAGAACTTTCTGCCACTGTACCTGGATTTTGTGGCTGAGCTCACGACATCCTGGGCCAAGCCATCATCCACCCGCACCACAGTCCCGAATTACGGTCAGTTTTTGGACCTCGATGGTGCAGAAATGGTGGGATTGGTTAACCTCTGTCCGATGGAGCCCTCTCTCGCGGCTTACCTGGCCCCGACCTGCAATAACGGAGTTAGTGGATAAACTAAGCTACCCTCCAAGCCATGCCACTTCTCAGCTGCACAACTGGAGAAGATTTACCGCACGCAGGCCTCCACTACCCACGTCCTCAGCTCTTCCACCATGCTCCAGACCTACCAAGCTCTTTGCCTGGTGGACCTCGGAGCAAGGGTCCCACCTGACTGCCCACTGACCCCCCTCATCAATGATATACGGGTCACGTCGGACAAAATCCTGCAAGCGGCCCAAGGCGTCGCCCTGCTGTTGAGAAGAGGTATAGCCTTAACTGTAGTGGCTCAGAGACACTTGTGGCTGACCCTTTCTAATGTCTCCGACAGGGACAGGGGTAACACCTGGACGAACCTATTTCACCCAGTGGTCTGTTTGGACAGTCCCTCAACGGTAAGCAGACAAAGTTCGAGGCCCAGCGGAAACAGACTGAAACGCTACGCTCCATCATCCCCAGGCGGGAAGGGTGGCGCATGGCACCTGGGTCTGACAGGAAGAACCTGACCTCTCCTCCTCCACCTCAGAGGACAGCCTTGCCAGTAGCAGCAAAGAGCTCGGTCCCAGCTCGGACCCCATCTTTCCCTCCTCGCCACTCCGCCTGGAGTAAAAGCCCTCCCGGGGACTCACAGAAACGCTCTGTGAGCCGCAAAAAGAAACCTCAAGTCGTCCTGATCCTGGGACCGACCTTGTTTGGGTTTTGGACCCTGTTGGGCTACAAAACCCCAGTTTTTCTATGGTTGAAACGGACCGGTTCAGCTACGATTCAACCCCACAGTCCAAAGAGACTTTGTTTACCAGCCCCAGGGGGCGAGAGTTGTACTGTTTACAAAAACATGCACACAAATGTAAAAAAGACTGCTGTTTGCACTCGAAGATGTGTGGATGCATTGTGTCTCAAGAATGCTTCTCAAATTGGTCCCATAAAGCGGCGTCAACCCGCTCCGCTGGTGAATGACAGCTCAATTTTCACATCAAATCCTGTCTGCATTCGGACTCTGTGGGAGTGGGAAAAGCTGCTGTTCTCCCGCTCTGCTGGAGAACAGCAGCTTTCTTCCGGTGACAAACATGAAGAAAGCTAGAGGGCAGCAGCTCCCCCACCAGGGCGCTGAGCGGTTGCCTCGCGGCGAAACTTCACCACTGGCGAGCATGCGCAGTGTGGTGAAGGGGAAGTGCTGCACCTGTGCCCCCATCTGTGGAAGCTGCAGGCCTGCCCATTAAAAGGTTTGCTAAAGGTCTTCCCCCGGCTGTGGTTAATACTATTCAGAGCTCAAGAGCATGCTCCACTGGGGGTTTATATGCCTTTAAGTGGAAGGCTTTTAAAGTGTGGTGTCTAAGCAGGTCTGTAGTTCCCTCACAGAGCTCCATTGTGGACATTCTGTCGTTTCTACAGGATCTGCTGGACAAGGGCTTGCCATTTTCCACTTTAAACGTCTACCTGGCAGCCATTTCGGCTTGCCATGAATTTTTTAATGGAGTTTCTCCTGGCGCTCTCCCTTTAGCCGTTCAGTTCATGAAAGGGGTTCGCAGACTGAGACTCGTTATTAGATTGTCTGTCCTTTCTTGGGACCTCACTTTGGTGCTGGAGGCCCTGTGTGGTCCCCCATTTGAGCCTATTGAATTGATCAGTATGAAGCTTCTGTCTTATAAGACAGCTCTGCTCTTAGTCCTTGTATCAGCTAAAAGGGTGGGAGACCGTCACGTTCTTTCAGTTCACCCTTCCTGTCTGAAAATGTCATCAGATGGAGCTAGGGTCACTCTGCATCCGAATGCTGCGTATTTGCCTAAGGTCATCCCGCTCAGCCACGGTTTCATGACCATAGAGCTTTTGGGCTTCAGTAGTCCTCCTTTCGCCTCTGAGGAGCAGAGGAGACTGCATTGTCTGTTCCTGGTTCGTGCTCTGCAGGCTTATATAGATCACACTCTTGAGTATCAGAAAAACAGACCAACTGTTTGTGTTTTGCCAAACCCCCATGGATAAAGCTTTCTCAAAGCAAAGACTTTCTCATTGGATTGTGGAGGCCATTTCCCTGTGTTACAGCGTCACTGGCTCCCAGCTGCCCCTAGGGGTCAGGGCACACTCTACTAGAGGTGTGGCTGCTTCTTGGACGCTGTTTAAAGGTGTTTCAGTTGGTGACATTTGCTCAGCTGCAAGCTGAGCCACACCCCACACCTTTTTGAGGTTTTAACCGCTTGGATGTTTTGGCCCCTTCGGTGGCCCATGCGGTTCTCTGCTGGATCTGACTTGCCATCTTTGGTTGCAATCTCAGGCCAGCTGAGATTGACAGCTTTGATAGCTGCTCATGGGGCGTTTGATTAAGTCCCATAGTACCTTCGTTGTACCGGGTGAATCGACTGAAAGGGAACGTTAGGTTATGCATATAACCACTGTTACCTGAAGGAAAGGAACGAGGTACAACGCAGGGCTGCCCCATTTCACAGCCCAGCTTGGTAAAGAGTGGCTATCGAACTGAGGAATAACAGTGACGCGGTCGCTTATAAGTGGAGGGCGGGGCCTCCACGCAGCATCACTTTCATTTGATTTACAGGCGTGATTAAATGTGTCTTCAGCCAGGCCACACGAGGGCGTGATGTCCCATAGTACCTTTGTTGTACCTCGTTCCTCTCCTTCAGGGAACAGTGGTTATATGCATAACCTAACGTTTTTAGTGCTTTAACTCACGGGTGTGTTCCAGACTAGCTAACCACCAAACCTTCTGCTTAGTACGAGAGAGCTAGGTCCCACTCATAATGCTCTATACGAGTACCCGTACTTAGAAAAATGTTCTGTGCCTCATCAGTGCGGTGTCTTCTCTGAGCCATCAGCTGGTGAGGGAGCAGCTTGGGAGGTGATGGAGCCAGCCCTCCCCCGGAGCCCAGCTCCACTTATTTCAGCTGCACAGATTCAGGATCTGATTCCTTCAGTCGTGATCTAGATCTCACAACTACGGGCGATGGAACGTAGAACGACTAAAACTTTGACTTTCCGCGGAGCTTCTTCTTTACCAGGACAGAGCCAGTCAGTGTCCTCGTTACCACACAGGACATTCAGGTCCATCTGTCCTACCTTCACCCAGCATTAGGCAGGCCTCGAGAGAACATTTAATTTTTTCCCAGTTGGGAACCATGGCCCTAGACATGGAGGAGCTGACTGTAAACCCTCATTAGACTCTGAGGTCCTCTCCAGACCACAAACCAGATCAGAGACCTTGGGGATAACCTGATGCAGTCCAACCTGTACTAGGACCAAGCTGGACCCCCTACTTTGGTTGTGCGGGGACTAGATATACCTTTGGTGGTGTCACATGACCCCCTAGGGGACTAGCAGCTAGCTTATTAGTTAAAGGTAATTCGTGTTTCTTTGACCTTTGACCTGAGATGGTGAGCCACTTTGTCGTAGTTCTGTATTTAACTTGTCTTACGGTTGTCCACAGAGGCGGCCCAGCTCCTGTTCATCGTGTCTGATGGGAGAGGACTGTTCCTGGAGGGACAGGAGAGGGTGGGCGCAGCTGTGCAGGCGGCGCGCACGGCAAACATCTTTGTGATCTTCGTTGTCCTGGACAACCCAAACTCCCGGGTAAGAAAACAGATTTGGGTATTTATTCCTGCGTCTTTGCAGCATGACTAAACACCAGTCCATTCTGCAGGACTCCATTTTGGACATCAAGGTTCCCATATTCAGAGAACCGGGACAGCTCCCAGAGATCCGCTCCTACATGGACGAGTTCCCCTTTCCATTTTACATCATCCTGAGAGACGTCAGCGCCCTGCCGGAGACGCTGAGCGACGCTCTCAGACAATGGTTCGAACTTGTCACCACCGCTGACCAATGAGAAGCTGTCCCTCAATGGTTGGGACGGGACACATGAGCTCTGCTGTTCTGGTCAGATCTGAGGTTTAAACGTGGCACAACTATAACCTGATGTTTTAGTCAGAGTTCTGTGCTGGATGGAGACGAGCTCAGAACCCAGAAGAAGGTTCTGATCCAGTTCTGTCTGGATTTGTCACTGTGAACAACACCCAGTCCAGACTGTGATGTCACAGATGTGCTGAGTTTCTATAATACCTTGAAGTATTGTGTTCATAAAATAAACTGTTCTTCTGATCTAAATGTGTTCTTTGTTCCTTGGTTTACCTCAGAAAACATCTCTGTATCACCAGTCCCTCTCTGGCAGGAATAACGGAGAAAAGAGACAAACTTGTTTTAAATATTCAGTCTAAGGAAATGTTCATCAGATGAGAAAAAAAAAACAGATGAGATAAAAGATGAGACAAAATTAAACAGCATAAAAATAGTTGCCTAGTGAACAAGACCAAATTCTTGCTTTGCAATGTTTGTTAATAAATATTTATTTACTCTAGCTTGCCAGGCTATAAAAATAGTGCTTTGGTAGATAAACTCATCTGTGTAAAAGCTGAGCGCACACTATGTAGTGGTGAGTCCTTGTTTGTCCAACTGCTTTATTTTAAATCCTCAAGCCACGACTGTACTGATGTGACATTCTGTATGCAGGCAAAAGAAGTCCAATGCCCAAAGCTCTTGACACTTGTCTTTTGATGTTTATTTAATCCAGTCTGGCAAGCATTGGTGAGGCAGCATCAGAGGTGACTGTAGAACCTCATCTGTGCTTGAACCGTTTTGATCCAGTTGAGCTTTCAGAGTTATCAAAAATATTAGCTTCATCTAAACCTTCAACTTGCATTTTAGATCCATGGCTACTTGGCCAAGGAAATGTCCCTTTGGCTGACTGGTTAGCATGCATTACTCTCACCTGGGAGTCTGGGGATTGAATCCCGCCTGGGCCCTCGTTTCTCCACCTTGCCACATTTGGCATTGTTAGCAGGATCCATGTAGTACTGTCAAGTACGTCCATGGATGTGAAGTTTGTGGCACCCTGCACGGGAGCACGAGGACGTGCTTGTGGAAAGAGGGGGGAAGATGTGGCAGTATGAGCGTTCTGTCACAATGTCCTGATTGATCATGCGCCCTGGCTACCTGGCCAAGGGAATGTCCCTTTGGTCAGGTAGCCAGGGCGCATGATCAATCGGGACACTGACAGGACGCTCACACTGCCACACAACCAAATTATTTAAAGATGCATTTCCTTTGGTTACTGCTCCCATTCTAGATATAATCAATCTATCCTTAGTAAATGGATATGTACCACAGGATTTTAAGGTTGCTGTAATCAAACCTTTACTTAAGAAGCCTTCTCTGGATCCAGATGACCCAATGAATTATAGACCAATATCTAACCTTCCATTTTTATCCAAAGTCCTGGAGAAAATAGTGGCCATCCAAGTATGTCAGCATTTAAACACTAATGCTCTGTTTGAGGAATTTCAGTCTGGTTTTAGAGAGTATCACAGCACTGAAACTGCATTAGTGAGAGTTACAAATGATATTCTCATGGCCTCAGATAAGAATCTTGTGTCTGTTCTAGTCTTGTTAGATCTCAGTGCTGCCTTTGACACAGTTGATCACAATGTTCTTTTAGAAAGACTTGAACATGTAGGGATCAAAGGAACAGCGTTAGGCTGGTTTAAATCCTACCTGTCTGATAGATTTCATTTTGTAAACGTACATGACAAATCGTCTTCATACTCCAGGGTTACTTGTGGAGTACCACAGGGTTCAGTGCTTGGACCAATTATTTTTACTATATATATGCTCCCAATTGGTAAAATCATTAGACAGCATGGGATAAACTTCCACTGTTATGCTGACGATACTCAGTTATATTTATCCATTAACCCTGATGAACCTAATCGGTTGGGTAGATTACAGGCTTGTCTTGAGGACATAAAAAATTGGATGACTCTAAACTTTTTGCTTTTAAATCAAGACAAGACTGAAGTTCTCATCTTTGGACCAGAAATCCAGAAAAGGAAATTGCTTAGCCAGTCGCCTGACCTGAATGGCATTACATTAATCTCTGAGAACAAAGCAAGGAACCTTGGTGTTATCTTTGACCAGGACATGTCATTCAAATCCCAGGTTTCACAAGTTTGTCGGATTTCCTTTTTCCACCTTCGGAATATTGCTAAGATTAGAAGCATACTTTCCAGGAGTGATGCTGAAAAACTAGTTCATGCATTTATTACATCAAGACTGGATTACTGTAATTCATTACTCTCAGGAAGTCCACAGAATGTAGTTAAAAGTCTTCAGCTTGTCCAAAATGCTGCAGCTAGAGTTCTGATGAGAATTAAAAAGAGAGATCATATCTCTCCTGTCTTAGCTTCCCTACATTGGCTACCTGTTAAATTCAGAATAGATTTTAAGATCCTTCTTCTCACATATAAAGCTCTTAATAATCAAGCTCCATCATACATCAGTGACCTGATTGTTCCATATGTTCCTAACCGAGCACTTCGCTCTCAGACTGCAGGTCTAATAAATAATAAAAGAGGAGGTGGTGTTGCACTGTATGTATGTCACAATTTAAAATGTAAAGTCATTCATAACATGTCAACAGCCATCCAAGATGTGATGGAAATGATCACTATTGAAATAATCTCTGAAAAGACAAAAAACATAATAAGTTGTATCTATAGAGCACCTGGATCTTGTGTAGAAACATGTACAAATACAATTACTGAGATGTTGAGTGGAATCTGTAACAAGGATGTATTTCTCTGTGGGGACTTTAATGTTGATCTGGAAAATGTAAACAATTCAAAGACCGCAAACGACTTCATAAATTCAACGTATCTACTGGGTCTGTTTCCACTGATAACCAAACCAACAAGAATTGATGCGCATAGCTCAACAATTATAGATAATATATTTACTAATGCTTCAGAAGGGATAGAGAGAAGTGGAATAGTGACGACTGATATCAGTGATCATCTGCCAATATTCACAGTCTATAAAAATCACCAGATCAAAAATCAACAAAAAATGGAAAAACTTATAAGGGACAGGTCACAAAACGCTATAGACGCACTAAAAAGAGATCTGGAACAACAAAACTGGGAAGAAGTATATGTTGATGATGTAAACATGGCTTACAATTCTTTTATAGGAATATTATGTAGTCAATATGACAAAAACTGTAAAACAAAAACTCAAACACAAAGAGGGAGGATGAACAAACCATGGATGACAAAAGGGCTGCTGAACGCCTGTAAGAAAAAAAATATATTATATAGATGTTTTTTAAAACTAAGAACAAGTGAAGCAGAAAGGAAATACAAAAAATATGAGAATAAATTAGTTTCTATAATCAAAAGACAAAAAAAGGAATATTATAGCAATTTATTAGAAGAAAACAAAAATAATATTAGAGCAACTTGGGGAATAATAAATAATGTCATAAAAAGAAATCAAATAGCTTCAACTGTTCCAAATTATTTTGAAAACGGACAGTCTGAAATTAGTGAAACCAGTAAAATAGTAAATGAATTTAACAATTTTTTTACTAATGTGGGACCTGACCTGGCAAAAAACATTCCAAAAAGAACAAATTATAGTATAGGCGAGAATATCAAAAGCAATAAAAACAGTATATATGTAAGTCCAGTAACAAGTGATGAAATAAGAAATATTATCAATAAATGCATCAATAAAAGAAGTACTGACTGTGACGGTTTAGACATAACATTAATAAAAAATATAATAGAAAGTATTATTCATCCATTGACTTACATATGTAATTTATCTTTTGCAACAGGGACATTTCCTAACAGGATGAAAATTGCAAAAGTCATACCACTTCATTGAAGTGGAGACAAACATATCTTTTCCAACTACAGACCAATATCTTTGTTGTCACAATTCTCAAAAATATTAGAAAAATTATATATTTCTAGGCTGGACCGATTCCTGATCAATGAAGAGATATTAAATGACAGTCAGTATGGTTTTAGAACAAATCATTCAACATCCATGGCATTAATGGAATTAATAGAAGAAATATCGCAAGCCCTTGACAAAAAAAATCATCTCATAAGTATCTTTATTGATTTAAAAAAAAGCATTCGATACAGTGGATCATACAATTCTTATTAAAAAACTTTGTAAATATGGCATCACAGGGATGGCCCTAAAATGGATAACAAGTTATCTTACCGATAGGCAGCAATATGTTCAAATAAACAACACAAAATCACATATAAATAACATTACTTGTGGTGTACCACAAGGGTCGGTATTGGGCCCTAAACTATTTATCATTTATATAAATGACATTGTTGAGGCATCCAATATATTAAAATGCACCTTATTTGCAGATGATACAACATACTATTCAGGAGTTAATGTTGAGCAGATGATAGAAGTGATACAAGCAGAGATGAAAAAAATTAAACTATGGTTTGATGGAAACAAACTATCATTAAACAGTGATAAATCCTGTTTTATGATATTTATTAATACAAATTCAAATGATGAAATTTTATTAAATATAGATGAGATTAATATTAAAAGAGTTCAAGAAGTCAAGTATCTGGGAGTCATCATTGATGAAAGAATGTCATGGAAACTACATATAAACAGTGTCAAAACTAAAATATCTAAAACGATTGCACTGTTACATAGAGCAAAAGGGTTGCTTGATAATAATTCATTATATTTGTTATATAACTCACTGATCGTACCATACCTGAACTACTGCATTGAAATCTGGGGAACAACATATAAAACTTACACAAATTCCATTTACATCTTACAGAAAAAAGCAATAAGAATAATCACAAGGAGCAACTACAGAGATCCGTCCAATCCATTATTTATTAAATTAAAAACACAAAAATTCTATGATCTGGTGGACTACAATATTTTTAAATGTATGTATAATGCAAACAAAAGGAACGTACCTGCAGGATTAATTAAAAGATTTTCAAAAAGACATAGCAAATATGATTTAAAGGGACATGAATTATTTAACATACCTAGACATCAGATACTCGTAAAGGAACATTGTGTCTCCATATATGGAGTTAAATTGTGGAATAAATTGAATACTGAACTCAAGAATGCAAAAACAATATTGACTTTCAAAAAAGAGATAAAAAAATAAAACGATTAACTCATATAGATCCGTTACATAAATGTGTGAGGGGAGGGGGGTGGGGGGGATTAAAGGAACAAAATATTAACCTAGTATG